ATATTGGTTTCCCTTGCCTACTACTGTAAAATAGACACTTGAGTGGGATAGAAAGGAATCAGGAAACATCATTACAGAAAGCTTGTAAGCCTGTCTTCAGCCTATAACTGATTGAAATACCTAAAAGGGGTTCTAGAACTTGCCCAGTGAAATGGGCTTCTTGTGGACCCTTTATAGTGTATAGCACCTTAGGTGGAATCCTGAGCCCCATCCAGAACCTTCTGAGGTGGGACTTTCCCACTGGAAAGGACAAGCAGATCAGCCTGGAACAACTAGAGGAACAGAAGATACTTCTTGAAAGAAAGATGAGCAGGAAAATTCCAAAACAAACTGGCAGTCTGATTGGCTACTACAAGAATAAGCAGGTTGTTCCCTGGGGAGCAATCAAGTCCCTTAAGAACAAACCTCCCTCTAAGACTGAAACTCAAAGAGAACACATGAGCAGGCATGTAAGCTCTCTGGTGACTGCATTGGTCTACTGGTAAGTGGAAGAGGGGTAAAGGCAGCAATGAAGACATGGGCTGAGTTCGATCATGTTCCACAGACTCCCATTGATCTGGAGATGAGAGAGAGAAGAGAAAAGGCTGATTGGTCTGAAGTGTGGTGAGACCTGGGTATTCCTAAGCCCATGGACGAGGACACAGCCACAGATGTCTAGAGCTGACAGTGAAGCATCCAGCTGATATGAAATGAGGGGAGACACACAAGAATGTCCAAATGTGTACATGTTACCCATTTGACCTAGCCATGATGGCTTGATGATCAGAACGTGACTTCTTGTTGTAAGGTGCCATCGAGTCGGTACCAACTCATAGCGACCTTATGCACAGCAGAATGAAACACTGCCCGATCCTGGGCCAACCTCACTACTGTTGCCACATTTGAGTCCATCGATGCTGCCATTTGACCAATCCATCTTGTTGGAGGTCTTCCTCTTTTTCTCTTACCAAACTTGATATCCTTCTCCAGTGACTTGTCCCTCCTGGCAATATGTCTGAAGTAAGAGAGACGAAGTTTGGCCATCTTGGCCTCCAAGGAGTACTCTGGCTACACTTCTTCCAAAACTGATCTATTGGCTCTTTTGGCAGCCCTTGGCACTTTCAATATTCTCCTCCAACACCATCACTCAAAAGCATCAATTCTTCTACTGTCGAGCTTTCGCATGCATATGAGGTTATTGAAAAATACCATGGCTTGGGTCAGGGGCTCCTTAGTCCTCAAGCTGACATCTTTGCTCTTCAATACTTTAAAAAGGTCTTGTGCAGCAGATTTGCCTAATGCAATACATCGTTCGTTTGATTTCTTGACTGCTGCTTCCATGAGTGTTGATAGTTGATGCAAGAAGAATGAAGTCCTAGACAACTTCAATCTTTTCTCCATTGATAAGAATGTTGTTTATTGGTTCCGTGGTTAGGAAGATTAAAAAATAAACAAACAATTTTTGATAAAGGAAACAAGTGTAAATTGTTACAGTGAACTTGATCTATAATTATGTATGTTGTAGCTCAAAGTATCAACTGAGAGGGAAGGAGTCTTCACATCAAGTATCAATCCTCTATCCCCTCTGTATACAGGGTTGATAGGGATGGGCAACTTAGACATTGGCTATATAAAATGAGGGGGTGATAAAGGCACAAAGTGACTGGCTTACAGGTTTTCAAGAGGGAGTTTAGTTTAAGAGATGTGCAGTGGGGAGTAGAGTCCCCACTGAATAGTTTTCATCTTGTCTAGATAGGTCTGGTTAAAAGAGATGGGGATAAGGTTCTTATGATTCAATAGTGAATAACTGTTATCATGACAAATTGCAACAGTCACAATTGTAAAGGCAGAAGTTCTGTAACAAAAAGGGTGGAGTAGTTAATCTTACAATCCAGGAACAGAGGACCCTATGGCCATCAAGGGAGAAGAGCACAAGTGGAATGTGGTACTCTATCTAGAGAATCAGCGACACCAGAGATGGAGGCAGAGATGAGGGCATGGAGAGAGAAAGCAGCTGACTAGACTCATAGAAAGAAAAATAGAAAGAATAAGCGCTGGCAGCCAAGAGGCAGGCTAGCAGAATGCACCCTTTTTTTTTTTTTAATATTATATTTTCCTGGGTGTTTTTGTGTATACCCCCCCACACACACACACAGCAAAGCAGACAAACAAAAACAGAGGCAACAGAAGCAAATACTGTTGAATGACGCACAGAGGGGATTGTAATCATTGTAATGAAATGATGAGTGTAAAACTATAACTCGGTTCACAATAAAACCTTTTTTAAAAAAACAGCAATGAAGACCATTACAAGAAAATATACAAACAAAATGAATTCAGCACAGAAAATTATGTGGAACACAGAAACCAATAGCACCACATGAAAACACACAGCAAAATGAAAGCAATCAATTCATACCGATCCATAATTACATTGTCAATTGCTTAAATAAATGCACCAGTAAAAAAACAGAAAGTAGCAGAATTAGTCAGAAAACAGGATCCTGTTTAATACGCTGGCTACAAAAGACGTACCTTATAGACTAAAAATCAAAGAATGGAAAAAATACATCAAGCTCATGGTTATGAAAAATTAGGAGGAGTGGCAATATTGATTTCTGATAAAATAGATTTTAAGACAAAAACCACCATAAGAACGAAGGACATTAGCTCATGATTAAAGGGGCAATTGCACAAGAAGACACAACTATACTAAATATCTATGATCCCAATGAAAGCAGCACAAAACACATAAATCAAACTCTAATACAATTGATGAAAGAAGTAAACAACTCTACAATAATAGTTGTTGTTGTTGTTAAATGCCGTCGAGTCGGGTCCGACCCATAGCGACCCTGTACAGGGTTTCCGAGGGTGTAAATCTTTACGGGAGTAGAAAGCCTCATCTTTCTCCCGCGGAGCAGCTGGTAGTTTCGAACCGCTGACCTTAAGGTTCGCAGCCCGATTCGTAACCACTACGCTACCAGAGCTCCTTACAATAATAGTAGGAGATTGAAATATACCACTTGTAATGAAGCAAAGAACAACTAGAAAGAAACTCAACAATGATGCAGAAGAACTCAGTAGCAGAATAAACCAACTTGACCCCAAAGAGTTAAACAGAGCACTCAACCCCAAAACAGCACAACACATAGTCTTTACCAGTCCACATGGAACATTCTCTAGAAAAGACCATATGTTATGCCGCAAAGCAAGCCTCAATAAATTAAAAAACACAGAAAATACTACAAAGCATCTTTTCAGATCACAATTCTATAAAATTAGAAATCAACAATAATAGGAACCTCAAGGGGGAGAAATTAAATACATGGAAATTTAGTAATACTGTGCTTAAAAACTACTGGGTAATAGAACAAATAAAAACTGAAATTAAAACATTCCTTGAATCAAATGACAATGCAAACACAACATACCAAAACCTTTGGGGCATAGCAAAAGCACTGCTTAGAGGGCATTTTACAGCAATAAACACTCACATCCCAAAGGAAGCAAGTATCAAAACCAGTACATTAATGAAACATCTTTAACAATTAGAAAACGACCAGCAAAGTAAGCCTACAGCCACCAGAAAAAAACCCCCATAGAGAGAAGTTCTGCATTGTGACAGGTGGGGTCTTCATGAGCCAGAATTGATTGGATGACAGTGAGCTTTGTTCAATTGTATAGATATGAGAAAAAATTTTCATATATTTAAATCTATATGTCAATTATCCTAGAATCTGATTTTTACCATACTAATAGTTCCAGTAATTAAACTATAATTTGATTTGTTGTTGTCGTTAGGTGCCATCGAGTCGGTACCAACTCACAGCGACCTTATGCACACTTAAACACTACCTGATCCTGGGCCAACCTCACAATTG